GCTGAATCGGAGTGTTGCAGTGAACTCATTTTGGGAAGGGAATCACAGTTGATTGTAGTGTACATTGGATCAGAACATGCTCATCACATTCTGGTTTCTTAATAGGTATGCCTCTGTCATTTTTTATGTGTGTCTCAGGCTTGCTAGAATATTCTTTCTCAAGTATATTAAACCTCATTCACATTTAAATATCTATTCAGACCGTCTCTATGTGCATTACGACTGCATTGTCGTACCTGTCCTTTGCTTTCTTCACCAGCGGTAGTGTGTTATGTGGATGCCAGCGTGAGTACCAGAGCAGCACAGCATGCTCTAACAGACTTGTCAGTGCTTGGGTTCTCTGTGTGTGTAGTTCACATTGAGGGGAGTTGAAGGGACAGGAAGGCAGAAGAGTTCCTGAGATGAAGACCATGGGAGGGAAATGGCAGGAAGGAGTGGGCAGGTTGTCTAGACAGGACAGACGGGGACAGGGAGGACCCCAGGGCCCTGTAAGACACAACCTAGACTCCCATCAGCAGACTCGCAGACCTCGGGTCCCTCTCAGCCTGGAGGGATGAAGCTGTTCGGTTTGCGTCCTTGCAGCTGGGTCTTCTGCCTTTCAAGGATGTTGACTTCTTTGTCTAGCCCTGGGAAAGTGTTCAGTGGTCCCCTAGACCAGAACCAGCACCCCGTTCCATTTCCTGGGGGGCTCATGCGGATCTGAGGTGACGTCTATGCAAGTACACTTGACTGAAAATCAGGAGAAGGACTTGGTGGAAGGTCCCTCCCCTGCAATGGGCCTCTGCACCCAGTCAGCTCTCAGCCCTCCCAGAGAAGGGGAACAGTGGGTCAGTGGAGTGGTGTGCTGTTATCTTGTGACTGAGTGGGGAGTTCTGCTGCCGCTCCTTAGCCAAGAAGCACAAACGATGAGCCCCAATAATAATGATATTGATAACCATTGATCATATTCCTGGTGAGGAATAATGGGAGAAGGCTAATTCCTCACTGGGTATGCATGGAGAATGTCACTTGGGTCATCAGATTTTAAGCTGAGTGCAGGCACCGGGGCCTGGGCTGGCTGGACAAGCAGAAACTTGTTCACCTTTCTGTTTCTGGAGCCATTCTAGTTCTTAGTCTTGTTTTCCGACAGAGCTTGCTTTGATTTGAAGTGGAGTGGGTCTGAAATTCCCATTGACGCTTCTAGGAGGGAGGGAGGGGGCAAAGTCCTGTCTGAGTAAGAAAGCTTCCTTACATGCTGGCACCCCAGAGGGGCTTTAGCTGTTGGTGCAGAAAACCGTGGCTACTGTGCAAGCTTGTCTTTGTTGTCGTTGGAACTCATAAGACGTATACTGTGTGGAGAGGCTGAGGAACAGGGTCTCCCGTAGCTGCCTGGCCTGGCTGACCTTACCCATGCTCCCTACACGCACATACCTTTTCCAGACCGGCCTCCCCCTCCCGTCCCTGTCCTTACTGTGTGCAAAGCTCTGTTGGCATTAAAAGACAGTGGGCTGTGGAGGTGCCCCACCCACCACTGGAAGAGCACTGGCTGTGGAGCTGTGGGTGGGGCGTGGCAGTAGCAAGATTGCACACACTTGTAGCAGGCCCTGGGCCAGCTTTCCTCCCAGCATTGCTGCAGTCAGCTCGTGGAGGAAACAGCACCCTATCTCAGCAGCAGAGCTTCATGTACTTCTTGGTTCCTGGAGGCTTAAGAGCCTTGCTGGCTCGTGTGAGTTTGCATAGTGCAGGACTAGGTGCCGGACAAGCTGCTGCTGGTAACAAAGGTCATCCTACTCAGTTGGGAGGCTGGAGGGCAGGGCTCTGTTGGTCTTCATAACTGCTCTTTCTGCCCTGCATCCAGTGGCTGGAGCCTCTTTGCCTCTCTTCTGCATCTGCTTCTCCTCCAGGTCTGTACACTTGGGTGAACTACTGGTCACTGGAAGTGTCTTAACCTTGGCCTTCAGATCCTGTGAGGCCAGAGAAGAGCAGCGCGTATCACTTGGTGTGCACTGAGCTCCCGTGGCTTAATGTCACGTTGAGGCATAGAAAATGGTTCTTAAGGTTAGCCAAGTGTTCTGAGGGATGGTGGCATCTTGGAAGCAATTGGAACTATGAGCACCTGGGCCCAAGTTTATGCAGGGACAGACAAGGGGACAAGATGACCCTGACACAGACGAGAGAAGAGCTGGGAGTAGGGGACTGAGGCACAGGTAGGCGTGGAGATCTCACTGCTCAGTCTGGCCTCTGCTCAGGATGAACAGGGTGGCAGAGAAAGGCCGACCCTGACGTAAGACTCCCCTCTGTCTCAGTGCAGGTGGGACAGATGGGTTCCAGATTCTCCCATCGTCCACTCAGCTGCTTCCTGTAGCACTGGACATGATAAGACTCTAAGACACTCAAAACAAAACCTGATTTCCTTTTGCCAGGTATAGCCTCAATTCATTCTGGGATGTTTCCCTTGCATGAGATGATGGGAGAATTCACACCCACCTTTGTTCATGGAGCCTACTCATGAGAAGAACCAAAAGAAAAACAGGTTATTGAGTTTTTCAGGTTGTCTGTCTCCATTTGCAAACACCCAGAAATTGGTTGTGGGTACAGGCTTCCAAGCAGTGCTCCAATGCCCACCCAGGGTTTTATAAAGTTTAAAGGCTCCAAAAGGAAAGAAAACTTTTCTGTGTCCCTCCATTCCTGTACCCACTGCATGACCCAGTAGGTGATGAGACTCGTCTGAACCAGTCTCAACTGGTTATAAGGACAAGGCATTTTGGGTCCAGCCAGTTGTCAATGGGCTCAACAGCAAGTCTATTTATTGTAAGCACTCTGTTCAGTTTTAGAGAAGAGAAAATAAATGCCTTGAGTGTGCATTAAATTCTCCTGTGCTGTTTGATGAGTTCCCTAAGAGGCTAGCTCTGGAGATAACAGATCTTGGCATTTCCTGCATCAGCTGGCCCTCTGGCTGTTTCTCCCTGCCCCAGAACCAAAGAGTAAAGGCATCATGACGCACTGATCTTATGATGAAAATAAAGCAGCTAATGTAGAACACAGAAACCACCTATGTAGTAAGTCCAGAACCGCAGTTTGCTTTATCTGCTACTCACTGTTGTGGTGGATCACTCTGCTGTAGGAAGACTGGTGTTTTCTGTAAGGTTTACCTGGGAACTCACCGGCCCTCAGGGTAGCGGCATGTACACAGGTGGTATTAAGTTACTGCAGATGTAGTTTGGATTCAACCTTCTTTTATTAAGGCGCTATTACACAACACTATCTTTGAAGCCAAACAGCTGCCGTGGCATCCACCAAGCCAACTTGTAAAGATTGTCACAGGAAGGTTTGTTCATGTCATTAAGTCTCATAAGAAAGCTAGAAAGCATACACAAGTTACCAGGGTCTGGGCAAGTTATATATGGTATGTAACAGGTCAGAGTTTAATACATTGATATCAAACTTCTGCTTAAATCAATGGAGTTATTATATCTGTAGCAATTCCAAGGACTGGCTTAAAGAACAGAATCACATCTGAACAAAGTTTCAGTGTTTGGTTCCCCCCAGCCCCCAAGCTTTATCTAAATACTACCCAGTGGATAGAAGGCCAGTGAAGGCTGTCTGGACCTCTTAAGTGTTGGGGAACCATACTTGGGAGACTAATGTGGTCAGAGGGATTAAAAGGAAGGCTATTTCCCATTTCCCTCTCAAGGTCAGCTTTGTCCCAGGGACCTCTGAGGTATAACTAGGGAATCACCTGTTGTCTTGTTCAGGGAGACTATGGAGATGCTTTCCAGTGACTGTAGACTGGTTAGAGCTCGAATTGAGTCTACAGAGAGGCATGTCAACAGGGAAATTTCCTCCATATTTGTGAATGAAGACATGGTCAAACAAGGTTTCTGACCTACCCTCACATAGATGGGACAACTGGCAAACCCCAGTGACCCGAGGACCAGAGCCTCATCCAGCCTTGACAGTTAAAAAGAAATGATTAATGTTGGCTGCCCTGCATGGTGCTAAACACACAGCAGGAAAGTATCACACTCCAAGGGATCATCCTCCCTAGACGTTAGGCTTAGTCCTCAGGAGGTGGTGTTTAGACAATATTTCTCACTAATGATTTGTTCCTGATTGGAAAAATGCTGCCCAGATGTAGGAGCTCATGATCCTGGTTCAATTCTGTAGTGCCTACCTGCAGCCATGAGAGGCAGGCCCCCTTTGCTATAACCTAATAATTATGTGGATAAAGCTTAGTGGACTGGCCAGTTCTGTTTCAAAAGGTAGGAAACTTTTGGCAAGACGGGAAATGTGTGTTATGACGTGTACAGCCACTGTGGATGCCCCGCCACTTCAGTTGTGACAAGGGGTGCAAGTGTTTAATTCCGCTCTTTGCTTTGACACTTAAGGGTGGCATGTGTGCCACAGGTTTGGATGACAGTTCAGCGTCCCAGAAGTCCAGCCCTGGACTGTTGGATCATAGGCGTAAATAGTGGCTTTTAAGCAAAATAAGCAGTTAGTCCCGGGCAAAGGGCCACAAGATATGGCCATATAAACTCAGAAAAGTGTCCTAAAACTTTTAAAACTAAAGGAGGTTTTCTGGGAGCGGCAGATTCATATTTTATGAAAAGTACTAATTGACGATCTTGCAGGTTAATTCTGAAACGAGACCTGGGTTCAAGCAATGGTGGTCTGGTTGTCACATTCCCAGTTTGCATGCACGAGCTAAGTCCTTAGGAACAGCTAGGAGAGCTGTGTGCAGCTGGACTGTAGTTGGGCTGTGGGAAGCTCGCAGCAGCAGCTCTAGAACCTTCCCCATGTGTGCATGCAGAGCTGGTTCTCTGCTGCAGTGTGGAGCTGTGACTGCTAGTGCAGGTGTTGCTCATGGATCTCGCCCTCCTCCTAGTAGTCATGCAGTGACATCTCATTACTGATAACAAGCGTGTGCCGTCTTGACATGGCCTGGATTGTTCCTCTAACAGTGTCCCTGGCAGAACCCAGAGAACCAAATGTTTTGTCGTCCACAAAATCAGCAAGGCAATGCAATTCCTTATTTGAGAAAACCAGAGAAATGTTTCTTAAGTCTCTATTTGGAAAAATAAAAAAAAAAAAAGTTTTCTTTAAGTATTTTTCAGCTTTTGTGACATGTGGTAACCAGGAGAAACAGGATACAGAGCATGCACCCCAGGTTTCCATGTTATAACGTCCATTCTTTACAGGTGGGTGTCGGTGAAGGTGGTGTGTTCCTTGGTTACTGAGCTGAAACCCTTGATGGCATTCATTAGTTCCTCTTCATCCACATACTGAAAAGCAAGCAACCATAAAACATGTTCAGTGAATTAAAAGCTGCCTATGTCCAACACTAGGATGTGGTTTGAGACAGACATTCTGTTAAATTCCCTTCACTGAAGGGATCACATGAGATTCCAGTTAGTTCAACACACAGAGTGTCACACTGTACAATCTTAGCCTCTGTGAGCTCAGTTTATCTGTAGAGTAGCGAAATTTGCAATCTGTGTATATGTAGTTTATAAGATTTAAAAGAGGAAAAGCCAGGCCACAAGCTGTTGTGCCCTGGTGCTCTCTACTCCGTGTACTGTGTTTATCAACAGGGTTAATGTTATGATTTCATAATGAACCAGTAACTTGCCAGGTGTTGGCACCCTCACAGGACTCCACTGACTCCTGCACACGGCCCTTTACTAGGACCAAACACCAAACTCACATGGCCATTGTTACAGGCAAAGCCTCTGATCACAATCCCGCAAAAAGATGACTTATGCTCTTGGGTAGGTCCCGGCCACCTCTCATCCTACACTCCTGTAACGATGGTGGCTGCGTGCAGATTATTTGTAATGTTCCATCTATGTCTTCATTGTTACAGGGAGTAAATTTACGTTTTGAAAAAAATTCATTTAGCAAATATTCAATTTAATTGTCCCTTCCATTTAAAACCTAGATCTGGAATGGAATTATGTGATTGAGTTATAACAAGATCAGAGTTTTTGAAAAGGTTTTTTGCTTTGTGTGTGAGGCAATGTCTCATGTATCCCAGGTGGCCTCAAACTTGCCACGTAGTTAAAGATGACCTTCGACTTTTGATCCTCCACTGTGTTCCTTGGGATTGGACCAGGGCTTCATGCGTGCTGAGCACTGTCACCTGAGCTGCCACCCCAGCCCCAGGAAGAAAACTTTTACCTTCACTATGTATTTAATCTTTCGGAATAAGCACAAAGGACTTGGGTGATGGCAGGAAAAATCGTTTTGTCATTTTGTCGTTAGTCAGAAAGGAACTCAATGAAGCCACCCACTTTTCGGTGAAGGGAGAGTAGAGAGAACTTTGGAGGCAGTGGACATGAAGGGGAGCTAAGCTCTCTGCCAGTTTCTTCTTCGACGAGCTGAATGGAAAGGCACTGCAGTAGATGTCTAGGATGACAAGCGGGATCATTGGTAAAAGTCCTACGATGTTCATCCCCTCAGCCACTAGGGAGCTTGAGGCTGATACGAGATGACAGGTGATCCCTTAAAGCCAGTCATTCTTATGATTGGACTAAATTTATGAAAGATGGCGCTCATAAATGGTGACTGAGGTCTAGTGATGCGTCTCAGTTGGTAGAGTGCATGTCTAGCACGCACAAAGAACCCTGGGTTCAATCCCCAGTGCTGCATGTTTGTTTTTAAAGGGAGAACAAGGAAGCACCTGCCTGTAATGGCAGATTTTAGGAGATGGAGAAAGGAGAAACTTGTTCAAGGTCATCCTGAGATCCATGTAACCTTGTCTCGGATGAATAACAGGAATGTAGTTATCATGGCTTCTGGTTTTCTTAAAGTAAACCAAGTTTGCATTTTATGCCTTTTAGTCAGTTTCTGTACTTTCTGAGTGTCTTATCATATAGCAGGACAACAGCAGTTCCTACCCCATTAACAGTGTTGCTGCTGCTGTTTGGTTAAGTCAGTAGTTTACAACAGAATTGGGCAGGTAGTACAAGGGTGCTCAAGGGCAGCAGTGTGAGTACAGGAGGCCATCAACTCACCAGTCCACTGCTGTGGCCCATAATAGTTTCCCAGAGCGAGTCATCTGCCAAGCCCTTCTTGTCTGGAATGTCCATGAGCTGGCTGACACTGCGGTGGAGAGAGCCCTGGGAGTAGGTCTGGCTGATTTGGCTTTGACTTGGGATCCTCAGTACGGACACACTTCGGCTGCTCCGAATACTCAAAGGCGTCCCAGACCGAGGGATTCTGGTGTCGGCTAATCCCTGAAAAGGAAGCTGCTGTTGGAGATGGACGGGTAACAGCGAGGTTGGGGACTGGTTTTCACACATCATGCTTGAAAGGAATGATGTTCTAGAGCCTCCTACAACAGACCTTGAACTCTGCAGCTATGAGCACCTGGAATACTGTGCCCTCATTTCCATGAGAAATGTGCCTGTGGTTAGTGGCAGTGCACTTGACCCCTAGGGTACTCATGTCCTGCCTTGGTGGCTGTTGCTCCCACTGGGGCCAGGCCTGCCAAGCAGTGAAGCCAGGGAGGTGGGGCTAGATTAAGGTGCTCTCTAACTACACACTGACATGGAGCCTGCCTCTTGAACTTCTCCCTTGTCAAAAGTGAACCATATTGTTCATGGTTGCCCTCTAAGAGCAATATATATTTTATTTTCAGAGTTCTGGATTGGTGTGGGAAGTGATCCCGCCCTTCTTCCTCCTCTCATATTTACCTTCTTGTAGGAATCTAGATTCCATAAATCATCAGCTCTGTCGTTCTCACCAGCAAGGCAAAATATCTCCATAACTATAATCTAAGATGTGCTCTTAAGGTAAATTCTAGCTGACTGAAACATGCAGAGTTTCTGATTTCATGGTCCCATCAGTGAAATATTTCTGCTTCTTACTGGACAGTCCACACAGCATGCCCAAAGAGCAGATGGCATCCATGCAACACACAGAGGTACCTCAAAGTGCATGGTGTAACTTTTTAGGGTGACACTGCTGGACACATCAGATATGTCAGCCACAGAGTCAAACTGAAAGGAAAAAGCAAATGGGTGCATCAGTATTTAACACTGTTTCAGGGGTTCGGAACCAAGATGGCCAAGAAGTACCCTTCACTGGGTGGTGGTGGCACACACCTTTAATCCCAGTACTCAGGAGGCAGAGCCAGGTAGATATCTGTGAGTTCGAAGCCAGCCTGGTCTACAGCATGAGATCGAGATTCAGGACAGGCACCAAAGCTACACAGAAAAACCCTGTCTCAAGAAACCAAAAATAGATAAATAAATAAATAAATAAATAAATAAATAAATAAATAAATAAATAACTCTACTACAAAAAAGAGTTTGAGCCACTAGTGGGCAGCTGTTTTGAGAAGAGAGAATGAATTCTAGAAATCAGAAGTGGTGGAAACACCAAAGAGCAAGAACAACCAGTGGAAGGTGACCTAGAGGCTAGAAAAGCAATGTGTGACCTTGTCACCAGGGTCCTGGCCAGGAGGGGACCAAATGCTGCTGGCATCATGTAAGCAGGTGCAGTAATGTGGACCATAGCAGCAAATAGGAGTGAGACATCCACAGTACTTAGAAGTGAAAAATCTAGTTTGAGAAGCTGATGGGTGTTAAAACAGCTCCCCAGCCAGGGCTGTGGCTCAGTAACAGAACACTTCACTAGCATGTACAAGGCCTAGGGTTCAGTCTCAGCACAGATTAAAAGAGAGAAGTGATTCCTGTGAATCAAGGAATGTGCTCACTCTGAACTGCCCCCAGAACTCAAGCAACCATAATAGCCCCTTTTGATGACATCTTGGCTGTCAAATAATAGGCCCCACCCAAAGCCTTGGGCCAGTATGTACCTCCACCTTCCTGGGCAGAAGATTGCTTTAAAGGATCCTGCAGTGTAAAGTCTGGTAGCTGCTGTGGCCAGGAGCTCGTGAATTGGGGAGGATTTTTCTACAACACAGTTGGACTGTACCCACTGCTGAAAATCCCTGGTCTCATCCATGCCTACATAGCTAGAGCTGATAAAAGTTCCAGGAAAACCCAGTAGGCAGCTCCAGCAACACAACACCTATATCTATGACTGCATGTGAGCTAGGGGAGTTCCCTTCTCAGTCAGAAAAGTTGGAATATTAGGGACATGCCAGTTTCACCCGTGCCTTTGGGTGCTAAGCCTTATGACTTCAGGAACATAGTAACCAGTGGCTCTAACCTGTCAGTACCTGCATTTCTTAAGAGGATCTACAGAAGTTCTCCTCCTAGCCAGCAACTTGTATCTCTGGGTAGACAAGGACACCCTGGGGACCAGGGAAAGAGTCTGCATATATTACATCCTGAACGGTAAGTGTCATCCCTACAACAGCTCTCCCTGGAGGGACATCCCCTTCCAGTCTCTGAAGCTTTAGGAGTATTAGAGGCCAGATCCACAAGCCTCAGAACTGCCCATATTGACTTGTGAAACCAAATGGAAGTTTCCTGCATATCCTCCCAAGGAGTGGATATGGCAGAGCACATGCCTTAATGGAAATGCTATATGTACTAGATGATTGAGGGAATGAACCTCACAGCCTGTGGACTTGGGTCCATACTTGCTGGTGCTATGTGTGCTTGTTCCTGTCTTCTGCCACTGTCATTGCCTACAGGACTCAGGGAAGTCCATCATTGCTCGGCCTATAGATGCTAACACCATCTTTAGACATCTGTGGTACCTGCAAAGGGCCCCATCCTACATCCTGTGGCTCAAGAACTGTCACGGCCAGGTCACAATCCTTGGCATCACCTGCACTTGCCCCAAGGAACTTGGTCCTCCCTGTACCCATGCCACCTAGACTGGCAGCTGCTCACCAATCCCAGTGTTATTGGAGCTGCCTCTGTTGGGCCTAAAGACACATACCCTTGTAAGTCTGTGTCTCACTCAAACAAGTGCCACCATGAACTACTGCACTCTAGGCACTAGAGACTGTTTTAAGCTCCCTTACAACCAAATGTACCAAACTGTCATCCGATATCTCATATAAACAACAAAACCCTTTTCCTATAAAAATGGAAGAAAAATGTTACAGTAGGCATAAATCTAAGGTCATAAACATGAGAGGATATATGGCCAGTTCTTAATAAGAATTCTTCAAGAACACATCTAAATTTGAAGGAAATTTACAAAGTGCCTAAAACAATAAACACAATCCTAAAGAAATTGAGACTTAAGTACAGACGAATACTACAAAGAAATGATGGGACAGTGTAGAAGGTCAATGAGGAATTCCCTAAAAGATAGAAATCATGAAAAGAACCAACCAGGAATCTTTCATGAGTGAAATGAAAAGTTATAAGGGAAACTTTGCACAATAGCATAGGACAAGCTAAAGAAAGAATTCAGAACTTGGAGACAGCTTACTGACACTGGGACATTAAGATGAAAATGGACCAAGAATGATGGCCCATAGTGACATATTTGCATTTTGAGAATTATAGAAAGTGAAGGAAGGGGAAAAAGGTACTGAAAAAACTATTTCACAAAATGACTGAAAGTGTTCCAAGAGCTGGTGGGTGGGGAGGAGATCTGTGAAATGCTGACTTCTGGGTAGGACACAGCTGTTGCCAGTCAAGATTCCAGCATCCATCACCACTGTCAGAAGAGCTGCTGGCAGTTGATGGCTGCTGAGGGAGGAGAACGTACTTTTCTTTGGGTAGGTCCATACCCCAGTGGATGGGCCCGTATACCCGTGCACATGTGGGCAGCATTAGTTGTACTGGGGAGTTGGTATTAATAGCCATTTAAAAAGGAAAGCATGGAGTTTGGAAGATTTGGGGTAGTGGGGATCAGAGGAAGATAATGGTAAATGTATATGATTAATATAAATTGTATAAGTATATAAACATAATAATACATTTTAAAAAATCCTCAGAGATATGGATATCCAGATTTATGAAGCTGAAAGATCCCAAACTAGCTTCATCCAGAATAGACCTTAATCATGGTATGTTTTAGTAAATATTGTGTATATAACCAAGAATTTTCAAAACATTAAGGGGCTACTCAGATTTGCAGCAGAATTTTCACAGAAAACTTATAGCTATAAGAGAATAGTATTACATATTAAAAATACAGAAGAGGAAACATGCTTAAAATAATACTAAAGTCTTTCCCAGATAAGAAGGAACTTAGGGAATTCTTTGCCAACACTAGAAAACACAGGGACATTCTACCTAGAAATGAAGGTAAATGGTAACTGCTGTTATGAAAACAATGTATAAGACTCATTGGAACAGCACCCTAAAAATTTAAAATTAGATGCTGGAAAGCAAATACAAGGAAATACAAATACAAGGAAAGCAAAATGACAGGAAGTAGTAATAACATCATTTCCCATAAGTGGATAAAATTCACCAATCAAGAAATATAGATTGGCAGAATTAAGAATTGATTGAAAGCCAGATATAGTGGTACACACATATAATGTAAGTACATGGAGTCAGAGGCAGGAAGATTATTAGTTGCAAGCCATTTTGGCATCCCTGGTTACAAAAACAACAACAACAAAAACCAAGAGAACAAACAACAAAAATTCTAAGACCCAACTATATACTACCTACAAGAAACTCGCTTCATTGCTTCACTATAAAGATATACCAAGTATACGAAAAATATACTAAAAAGATACATCACAAATAGGAACCAAAAATGATCTGAGTTTCTTAGTTCAGGTCTGTCATCCATGCTAATTAGGAGGCTGAGGCAAGAAGATGACAAATTCAAGGCCAGCCTGGGCAACTAAGGGAAATCTTATCTTAAAACCAATAAATAAATAAATAAATAAATAAATAAATAAATAAATAAATAAATAAATAAAAGGGGTGGGGGTGGGGGTAGAGGAGATAGATATAGCTCAGTGGCGGAGTGTTTTCCTGGTATGTGCAAGGTTTTAGGTTCAGTCTCTGGTATTAAAGAAAAAAGGTATTGCAAGAATAGCTGCATTTATTTCAGATAAAATAGATATTAAAATCTTTACAAAGAGACAACCATAGTGAGAAAATGATTTGTTCAAGAAGATGACATAAGAATTGTAAAGAGCTGGGTGGTGGTGGCACATGCCTTTAATCCCAGCACTCAG